TTTTTTTTTTTTTAATTTCTTTATTTCTTCTTTTTCTTTTTATCTTCATATTATATAATAATATTATTATTATCTAGTCTAATATATTACTATTAATAAATTTCGTCTGTTGAAAAATAAGTAGTTTAAATAAACATCCGATTAACCTAACGTGAGATTATATCCAAATTTATATTTACATTTTATCTAAAATAAATAACTCATATGTAAACATATTATCCAGTTAATTTTCTTTTTAAAAAATCGAATATCTTTCTTTTTTATCAACGCGTTTTTTGCTTTTCAATAGGAATTTATATTTAGTATCCTTTTATTTCCATTTTTTTTCTTGTATTATGATAATAACGATCATCAATCGTCCCATAAATACAGAAATTATATATATATATGTGTGTATATGATTGATGAAATAATATTAATTTGTAAACTTTTAAAATGCATCGTGCTTGTTAAATAGCAACATATCATATAAGTTTCATTATTTTTGATAATATTTTACGTAGAATATAATAAATCAAAAAACAACACAATGTTTTTGTCGGCATTTAACAATTACATATATATATTATATATACAATTATATATATATATATATACGATATAAATTGAATTTTTAATTAATACTTATTAGAGAAAATAATTTTCTTCAAGATTATATATGCGTATAATTTTTTTTTTTTTGTATACAAAAAATAAACAAACAATTAATAGAAAAACAAAATGTTATATGCAATGCGATATATCGCGTTTATTTATAAATTAATGAATCTTTATTTATTTTAATTCAAGGATAGTTGAGAGTGTATTATTGATATAAGAATAAATAAAATACAAAAAAAAAAAAACAATATTAATCGTTCGTTTCCGTTAATAAATGATTGTATACGATAACAAATATTACCATCATAACTAACTATAATCATCTATTCACCGTTTCGTTGTCGTCAGTTCTTTTTTCGCTTCCGTAAAATGCATTATGTAAAGTCAGGAAGATTTTTAATTATTGTCTCGATCACTAAATCATTTGATTATGTAATAATTAATTGTCAACCATGTTGTGTTCGGTCCCTTTTATTCTTCTTCTTTTTTTTTTTTTTGGTTTTTCCTTATTATCTTTTCTTTCCACTCGTATTATTATCTTAAATGAAAACAATAAAAAAAACAATCGTGTAGTTAATCAAAAAATATTATCACATAAATCAGAAGAGTTTATTGTGGAGCGAAAGAAGAATTGCAGATGTTTGAATAATAAAGAACGCGTATAGTTTGATGAATATAAAAAAATTAGCAGAACGAATAGAAAAAAAAAGAAAAAAAAGCAATATAACGAATGTATCTTCATCTTTACTTTTATACGCGATTATTAATTTCAATTAATTAAGCTAAGTGTGTGTGTTAATGTATTTCGTCGAATAAACAATTTAGGAAAAAAAGAAAAGAATAAAAGAAATAAGAGAAAGACAATTATCTAGATATATAATATAACAATCATATAACTTGAACATTTTATATATCATTTTAATTGTTACGTCTTTCCTCGAATTAAATTTCGTTTAATTTAATTAAACTAATGAAATATATTTTTATTTATTTATTCTTTTTTTTTTTCAATTAAAAATAAAAAGAAAAGAAACATATAGTATGTTTGGTATAACGGTTAATAATAATTTTTTTTTACATTAGATAAGTGTTGTACAAGTATCAAAGAACATATATGTGCTCATACCAATTATTTGAACTTTGTTGTAATCTTGTAAAACTTATTAACGAATACTTACACTTATATTATTTTATCTACAATTTGTAATCCGAATAGGTAGGTGGTCGTAATGCAATAAATTAAAATTTTTCAAACGTTCAATTTATTAAATGGATCATTAATCGACACTGCGTATAAATTATAATTTTTTAAATGGATCATTAATTGACACTGCATATTAAAACCAGACTTTCTGTGTTTAACGAATATTTTCGTCATCGTTTTATTCTAGCAACACAATATATATATATATTATTCCCATCAATGAATATAAATTTTCTTTAATAATAATAATACTTAACGCTGTGTTAAAAGATCAACATTTTTATGACTAATAAATTATATGAGTAATAGACGACACGACACGACACGACACAATGTATTCGAATTACAAATACAATGTTTTGCCGATTTCTAAGCTTATTTTCCCTTTTCTTTTTTTTTGAAAATTAATCCGAACTTTCTTGCAAACTCTGATGTATACTATTATCAATTTGGTATTTAATATTTTTTTGTTATTTTTTGTTTTTCTTTTTTTTTCTTTTCACTGAAGTTAATCGATTTGAATAAATAAGTAGTTGGTTGTGAATTGCATTGGAAAAATTATGTAATACGGACACGTTCTCAATACTTATGCATAATTCGCGAGCGATGAACGAAGGAAAAGGTGCTGCGCGCGTACGAGAAAGAGAGAGAGAGAGAGAGACAGAAAGAAAAAAAAAAAGAGATAAAAATCTATTCGTTCGAAAGAACCGAACATTGACATACAAAATACTCGCAGCTCGAGGTCGAACCTCGAGGAGGAGATTACTTTTCCACTTCGATCGCGAACGAATAAACGAAGAACGAAAGCAAGTAACGCGACATAACCTTATTTCATCTCCATCCAAGACTTCAAACGATTTCAACATCCTTCGTAAGTGTCAAGGCTGAGAATCGTCGTTGTTATAGAAGCCACAAAGATTTTTTTTTGTTCTCTCTCTCTCTCTCTCTCTTTCTCTCTGTCTTTCTCTCTTTCTTTTTCTTTTTCTTTCTCTTGCTACTTTTCTCTTTCTTTTTTTCTGATTCCAATATGGCTGCAACCGCGTGACCATATTATAGCTTTGTCTCCTCTTTTATGTTCTCTATCGATATTTTCAACAAATTTTGTATATATAATTATATAATACTTACACATATATTAACAAGTTACACCCGAAAAATATTTTTCGCATAAGTTAAATCTTTTTATAATTTGCAAAAGAAAATGTACGATTTTTGTATCGAACCGTTTTTTTTTTACTTTTTGGAAGATAGAGTTAAGGGGCAGTAAATACAATATATATATATATATATAT